TCACAATTAACAAATGGTAAACACCACAGCGTACACTATTGAGTTATGGATGCACGCGGGAGGTTGCTAAGCACGAAAGAAGCGTAAGAGTCGCTCGAGGCGATAGCCGAGAGCGACTCTAGCTTCTTGAGTGCTTAGCAAACCTCCCAAGTGCATCCATAACTCAATAGTGTACGCTGTGGTGTTTACCATTTGTTTTATAACATAACATTGATACATTGTAGCTAAAGAGTTCCCTTTTATTTAACAAATCTTACGTGGCCAGAAAATACAAGCGCGTGCGGAAAAATTGTCTTTGCATTTGCTCACGTCCGCAGCGTACACCCATGGGCAAATGGGGGACGCTCAATTGACCAATCAGAGCGCGCGCTTTACTTTGGTTATGTTATAAATATTTTTATTAATCAGAGTGAATGAAGGTGTTTGATTATAAAATTAAAAAAAGTACTATTATTATTATTATTATTACCATTTCTAACAAGTGTCGAGCTTCACTACGGGCGCTGCCAGATCCGCCATGGGAAAGAAGAATTTACACAGCGATTAGAAACTCCCTTGACCTCAACTGAGAAACAGACATCTTGTGCCACTTGGCTAGTAATAATCTTCATAACGTCCATTGATTATTGATACCTAGATGGAAACATTTACGCGAAGCAAAGTCCACGGAAGCGGTTGGATAAATACAACTTAGAGCTGTATACGAAAACATAACCTTTTTGATGAATGATGCCTACATCGTCATTTTTGGTCAGGTCTATGTTTTACAATCTGTAAACCTGGTCTAAACAAATACCTCTTGTTATCATTCTATTTTCATACAGCTGGCGTCATGGTCAATCTTAGCTGTCTCTCAAGAGAAAGCTGTCATTTGATCACATCGCATTTCAGTATCTCCTGTGGCCTGCCTAAGCTTGTTCACTTCCACTGAGAAGCGTCCAAAGGAAATTCCTTTCGCAATCGGCACAATATTACAACGCCATATGATGGATTCTAAGATCGAACTCACTCAGGAGAACATTTATTTCGAAATGGAATCCAAACAGGAAGGTGAGGCCAGAACCTATGATGATTTAGTCATCACAAACGACACTCCTCAGAGAAAGCCTAAAGTGAAAGCACAGTCGTATAAAGATTCTGATGCAATGAAACATCACCGACTTTTCTTTATTGGATCTGCCATTGCTGTTGCATCATTCTTAACGGCCTTTACCACTTTGGTTTTAGGTGTGGTTACGGTGACGGCAAGGAGTGAAGTTACGTCAGGTACAGCTTCAACTGCCCCTTCCTGTGGTAAGTCACGCTAGTAGCTCTAGATCTGAAGAGGAGATCCGTACAAAAAACAAAAATGAAACTTTTTTGGCAAAGGCCAAAAAATCAAATTGTCTCAATTTTTGCATACAAGTAGCCCTTACTAAGGCAAGAAACGCTGTAAAGTTTTTTTTTTCTCTCAAATGTGTTTTTATTTTCGAGAAAAATGAATTTTTCACTTTCACCATCTGGAATCGACAACTTTGCGTTTAGGGAAGTCTAACCAACTTGTGCTCTTATAAAGACTCTTCCTCGTTAGTAAAATGTAAGTTGTGTAGGATTTGGTTGCTTTGGTAGCTTTTAGCCACGCGAAAAAACAGTGTGCTCCCTTTAGTTACATTTTATGTCCATTTTAAAGAGTTTCCTGTGTCGCTTGATAACATTTGTCCAAAGTAAACTTTACGTCATTTTGAAGATCATTCTTTCGGAAATTTACATACGCAATCTTTTTCGGTTTTTACCGAAAGCTAGTTAAAAGGCACGGGTAAGCATATACAGAAAGTTAAACTAGGGGTAGAAACTAGATCAGCTAAGTCTTTATCCTATACCGCTGCTCACACTGGTGCATAATCGTACTAGACAGAACGTTGGCGGATTATCTTTGCAAGAACAAAATTGAAATGGTAAGAGAACTTATCATTTAACAAAAGGTGTTCTCCTGTTCTCCTGTTCGATCCGAAGTCATTTGAAAACAGGAATTCTCTTTAACTTTTTGGTCACGCAATCAACATATTGCGTGATTTTATGTCTTCCGTGTACAATTTTATAGTTACCTGGCGTCGTTAGAAAACATTTGCCAAAAGTAAACTTTACGTCATTTTGAAGATCATTCCTTTGGAAATTTACTGACGTAATTTGACGGAATTCTAAAAGATGTAGCATGGTGAATGATTTCGTCAAAATTAGATCTAATTTATTGCCATTATCTGCCTGTCCAGATGCCGAAAAATTAATGCAATCACAATCAGAAAACACAGCATTTACGTGAAGCCTTTTAAAAAATCTCAATTTTGGCAAAAAAACATTCGGTGCAATGTGCCCAACAGAGTTTCCCCATGTAAAGATCTCCCATGAGAGGAGAAAAGGGCGAAATCACAGAAAACATCAAAATTTTCACGAAGGGTCAGCCAAAAACGCCCACACAGTCGAACCTGTATTTAGCGCCAACCGTGTAAGGCAGTCACCGCGTATTAAGCGGTAGGTGTTCAGGGTCCACCTGTAATTTTCACTTCTAATGAGCGGTCACCTATAATAAGCAGTCGTGGTCACCCTGTACTGAGTCCGGACGGCCTGTCTAAATTGTCCTCCACCTATATTGTACCGTCACCTGAAGCGGAACACCTCAAATGAAACTAAATAATCTTTCAAGTAAAATCAACTCGTAGTATTTTTAACTGAATTTTTTTACATTAAGTGTTTAATTATGGCATGAAAGGACGTTTTTTATCGTTTCTTCATATGACGCCTATTCTGCGAAATCTGATTTAAGCGGTTAACCTACATTTAGCGGTCACCCGGTCACGCTATTTCCTTTCGGCGACCGCTACATACAGGTTTGACTCTACATGGCTCGTATGCCTTGCACTGCTTTTGTTTTACAATCGCGATGGAATGTGGTTGACCAGAAGAGAAGCTTTTGAACTTGTCGTCCATCTCGCTTCTCCTCGTCAAACTGAGCTTAAGCAAAAAATGTCTTTTTCCAACCTTATCCTACATCAAGGAATTAGTGCAGGTAGATGTTTTACTTGTAATGACAATCTGCTCTTATTTTCAAAAGCTGTTGGAAGTGGAAGGGACGATGGTCAAGAAATGAAAGTGAAAATTTCAAAGCTGGAAGAAGACTTAAATGTCACCCGCTCTCAAGTTCAAAAGCTCATGATAGAACTACAAACGCAAAGGAAAGCGATGGAGAACCTGACAGTACAGGTGAACATAATTCTTTGGCTAATGCCTTGTATGGACATCACCGAAACAAGATCATTTTCCACTCTTCTCCTTTCTGCAGGAACAAAGCTGCAGCTACTGCACCGGTCGACCAGGTCCTCAAGGCCCACGCGGCAAAATTGGACCACCTGGCCCTCCAGGGACCCCAGGACCTATTGGCCTTATGGGTTCCAAAGGTACAACAGGACCAACGGGTCCTCAAGGCTTTAACGGTTCTAGAGGCTTACCAGGGCCCCGCGGGACTCCAGGAGCGATGGGCCCGCGCGGATATAATGCATCACAAGGATTAACTGGATCGCCTGGACCACCTGGAAAGAATGCAGCTTGGAATGTGAGCCTCTGTCAGTACAAGAACAAGAAGGAAGTAGCACAGACAGCCGGGGCGTCCGCTAATGCAAAAGTAATTCTACGAGAAGATGAACACCCGGTAGGTTCACAGCACTTTCTGATAACGTTCATTCATTCTTCGAACCAAGGTGGAAAGTGGTGAAGTATTTATTACGCCAAAAGAACAATTGTTTCAGTATCTACACACGAAGTGAAGACAACAGTTTTTTTTTCAATAGATACCAATTAACATATATTTCAATGAATACTTGTTGGGTAATAAGCATTAGTACAAGGTTAATTCAAGCGTCCTTCCTGACGAAAGGTAACATTTCTTTTTGTTAGGGAATGAAGATCATTGCGGCTACTTGTTCAACGATCAATGCTGCAGAGTACGTCTTTGGTGATGCAAAAACTGACCCCACAACAGGAACTATCGTGTACAGATGTCAGTGTAAGGGACAATCATCTCTGTTTCTTGGTCCAGGTCCAGACATGAAGTGCGTTATTCACTACTGGATCTGTCCGATCGGAAACTGAACAATGTGGAAAAATAATCATTTGACAGTTAAATAAGCTCTAAGAAATACAAATTCATCATTTCATTGTTTACAGTAGTGTATTTTCTGGTAGCATTGTAATCCATTGATTCAACGATACAAAGTTTTTTTTAATGCAATCTCGTTTCGAAAACGTTAATGGACCAAAAAACAGCATGAGAATTCTGTCTGTACTTCGACATTAAAATTCACGAAGACAACTTGTAGTCTGTCTAATCACGAAATTATCTTTTATTTTCTTCGAATCAAGGAGAATCAAAGCATCAACCACACAATCAAACGTGTACAGTACAAGTTTAGTAATTTGTTTTAAGTTTCCCCATTTTTTCACTAAGGCATAAAGAAAGAAAAAAAGAAAAAGAAGGAAAACTTGTAGTTGTTGTCCTTATTTAAGGCTAAGTCGAGTTACTTGGAAGCCCGTGTGAGTTCATCCAGTTGATTTAGGGAGCTACGACGTCGGGTAGTGAATTGCTCTAAAGTACATTTTGGCTCCTCGAGAAATGTTCGGCTGATGGAAAGTTCTGGAAAAAATGGGAAAATGCGATTAAATATCATTCAGTAACCCGTTTTTGGCTTGCCTTCAGAAGCATCGCACAACGGTTAAGAAGGATATTAGAAATGGATGGAAGAATATAAAACAAATTTTCATTTTTGCCCCATACCACCTTCACTTCGTGGTTTGCTGTTCCTCCTTTTCGACAAACACTTAGTCTCGGCCAATATCCTACAATATACCAGGCGCTTGTCGCATTATACACTACGAAAATCTTAAACATTACCTGGAAGTAGCACGAACCATTTGACTGGCAATGAATACTCGTCTCCACGATCGGCCTTTGGCAAATCACAGCCGTTTGCATGTTGGCTTTGTTTGAAGACAGTTAAGCTGCCAATTGAGCCACACAATTGACTTTTACTGCTCTGACTCAGTAGATCAGGATAATAGAGCGGTAAACGTTTCATGGTAACTTTGAGGTTGCCTTGGCCTGGAAATACAATGATCAAACAAGGATGTGACGAGTGAAAAAAAAAAAAAATTCAACACTACTGATAGCATTCTTTTCTCTCTTGGTATGCAGTGAGGACTTCAGACGGGAAGACACGGGGACGGAAATTAGTGCAAATGTCAATTATGCATTTGTTCTCCCACCTCGTAGGACGCGGTGGCCAAACGGTTGACACTTGGATCGAAAGGTGTAGGTTCGAGCTCCTGACCGGCTCATTGTGCCATATTCTCAAGATAGACACTTTTACAACTCTCTTTCTCTCCGCCCTAGGTGAAAGATGCGTGTGGGCTAATGGTTAGTGCGCATGACTCCGGGTCGAGAGGTCTGGGTTCGAAACCTGGCCAGGTTATTGTGTTGTGGTTTTTGGCAAAACACTTTACTCTCACAGTTGCCCTCTCCACTTATGAGTGCCCATGTGTACCAGTAAATTTCTAGAGAAGCCTTATAAAATACTGGGGGTGGGGGGGGGAGAGACCTTGCAATGGACGGGTATCCCATCCGGGGTGGAGAAGTAATACTCCTCGGCGCCTCATGCTACAGTATCTTGGAAAAGTCCTAGCCAGATTGGGCCACTTAGCTCGAGTACAAACTTTACCTCTCTCCACCCAGGAGTGTAACTGGGTAGAAACAATACTCTTACTCAGTCAATGCTATGAAAGTCGAAAAAACACTCCGGCGTTGTGGGCCATCATATCTTGTGAGTAGTTGACGGCACAAGTGGGATCAATGAAGGACCAAGGGTCAAATAACATAACCATGTTGGGACCTTCTTGGTTAAATCTTATTTCACCTTTACCTGGATACATGGAGACTCGTATCATTTCTCCAGAGCCTGCTTGATCCACCTTGACGATGCTAAACTGAAGCTCAAACGGATCTCCTAACATCAAACACCTGGGAAGAGAAGTAAATTATTAACCAAAAATGTTTTGGAAAAAGCATAATTGAACTAAGAAAAGACACACTCGCAGCGTAGTCTATAATCCTCTAGGAAAAGGGGAGCCTCCGTTCTAGAGGTTAACGCAAAATCTCAAGGCTTGGCTTTTCCAAAGTTGTTCACAGGGTCCCTTCTTCAGGGGAACGAAAAACAGAAAAGAGTGCGCTGTTCAACATTCCTTTACACACCGGCACTAGACAGCTGACTACACGCTTTCTTTGATGGAGGTACTTGACGAACATGAATGCTAACCGGTTTTGGAGCTGAACGCTAAAAATCAGGCCTCTTACAGCCAAGAAAGAGGAAAGAGACCAGTTATGCAGGCTATAAAAGCGAAATATAAATTCCTTACAAGGAGGATCGTTCTCACCACACTTATTGTAAAGTCAGGATCCTGTTACCTTTGAGAGCTAGTTTCCATATTGAAAAGAGCCTTGCCAGAGCAGTAGATCATTTTCATAGTGCACAAACACCAAATCCTCAAGTTGCCGCCGGTGGTGAGAAGTACGAGATATCTATCTGAAAAGATTAAAGTAAATTAAATAGCACTGCGTGAGTTGAGTTACTTGCCTAAAGACCATTGTTAAGGGCAGCTAAAAACTGGATTATACGTGACTCATTGCTTTTGATAATTATCGCGACAGTTCCTCCATCCACCATAATGGTAGTCGCACCTGTTAAACAGCATTCAAACTATTAGGACGTAATTTCTCAATTAAGTAAGGAATGAATTCCCTCGATCACAAGTCAATCAACAAGAAACTCCTCCTTAAAATGATACCCATCAATTAACTTGAAAAAGGTGATTACATTATACGGACTTCTGCGAAATGTTATGTAACATTTACCAAAATCGTGAGACGGAGAAAAAAATCCGAGACCCTACAGGACGATTCGAAAATCAAGCCTACGGATTTCCGCGCAACAATGCTCTGCCACTAAGCAACAAAAAACTCTTCTGTAAAGTACATTCTCTACGCTGATTTTCAAAGAAATGATTGTTTGTACCTATCTGTTATTAAATGTTATGAGATGAAACACATACCTGCAGTGAGACAGCAGCTTTCGACTGGACAGGGGAATAGCAGCGTTTCCCACTCTTTGATTTGCGACTCATACACATACACTAACAGGGGTAAGGCGGGCACTATTACATAGTTTGTTGAAATTAGCAGTCGCACGTCGCTTCTTGATAGAAACTTAGAGCTACCAGTCCAAGACTTCTGAAAAAGTCCTGGATTGATAAATGGTGCTTCTAAAGTTAACACTTCGTTAGATAAACTAGAAGTACACTGGGATTTGCTGTTAGTCTTGGGGTAAAAATTTTCATAGGAAGTCTCAGACCCTTCCGAAGTCTGCAGAGTATTCATACTTTCAACAGGATTGTCTTCAGAAATTGTTTTCTCGTTACCCGACGAGCAACTGGCATTTTCTGTGGACCCGATGGCATGAAGCCCTACAGAAACATTAGGCAATCTAGTTTCATCTTCTGTACAGCTGCTGCTGTCATTTTCACAGTTTTTCTCCAGAGCTTCTTCGTCCAAATTTAACCCTTCGTTCCTTTGTTCTAAGCATTCTGAGCCAACTCCTGTCGATGAATTTTCACAGCTACTCTCAGATCTATTTCCTATCTCCCTCAACCAGGAAAAGCTTTCTTGAGACGTCCTCCTCCACTGCAGGGTCAATAAACCCTTGGACGAAAGTTCTACGAGCACAGAGCCTTCAAAAGATTCTTGAAATAAAAGTCTTTTTTTCTCTTCGTCAACGGAAACACTTTTCACTAAAGACACTGTGGAGATAGGAAGAGGAGACCTTCGTGACCTAATGATCATAGATGTGTATCGTTCATCTACAAGTACTTCTTCTACAGATAAACACAGTTAGTCACAATTTTCTAATTTTCTCGTAGTAAAGTTGACATAAAACTTTACCATTGATTATTTTAAGGGTAAATGTCGATATTCTTGACGTCGTTCCTGCTACTTAGTAAATAAACCCCTTCAGGCGGTTGGTACGTTGGTTGATAATGTCCACAGCAAAGATATTGTCCTCGAAATGAATATTTGGAAGAGAAGCGAAACTTTAAGGGCAAACGTTACATTTTGGGGACAATCTCTCAGCAAACAACATTATCAGCCGACATATTTATTTTATAGCCCTCCCACTAATTTTCGTATCGCCAATAACAGCAAATTTTGTTGATTATTCTGTACCATCCGCAGTAGCGTTTGAGAACAATTTTTTAACGTCACTATCACCGGACTCTACAAACGAGTTAGTTTTTCTTGATAAAGATGAAAAAGTGAAACTCTTGAGCAGGTTTTTTTTTCTGCTGGCTTTGTTTCTTTTCGACGGAAGTATTCGTAGGATAAATATCGTAATAGACGGGGTTGATTGCGTGATAACTATCCGGTGATTTTGCAACACGTGACAGAATCGCGTAAAAATTAATGGGTGGGTTATAATGGCTGACTAGGTTTACATACACGTTCATATGTAAAAGAGTGTATCATGCATTTATCAATGCCTAGAAATTGTATACAAATAGTGAGGGACTGTACAGTTCAGTATTTTAGTAAGTTGATAAATTATTTTTCACCTGCAAATTCACACATATTTCTAAAAAGTGGCAAAATCGGTGAGGTACAATCTTCAAGGTATTTATGACAGGAAATAATTTCAAGAATTGCTACTTCCCCTTATTAACATGCTAGATGTCTTACTCAGGAACACAACACTAACAATAAACCCAGCCAAGGCTTGCAAATAATTTCAAGAATTGCTACTTCCCCTCATTAACATGCTAGATGTCTTACTCAGGAACACAACACTAACAATAAACCCAGCCAAGGCTCGCATATGTGATTTGAGAGTAAGCGCATAATTTAGAATCTATCCTTAATCAGCCTCGCGAAAGGGATTTGAAGGTCATTTTCACCTTGATGGATACAGGCACTTACCAGGTTGAGTTTCTGGCCACCTTAAAGCAAAACATTGCTTGGATCGCAAGAAAAAGAGAATGAAATCCCCAGATCTTTGACTATCAAGAAGTAATTGAAGAAAAAAATGAATCACATTCAACTTCGGATGAATAAGGAATGTCCTATGTAAAATAAATGTATGGATATCTGAAGGAGAAAAATATTAATTAAAATGCAATAAAAATGACAAAGACAAAGACAAAGAAGAAGTCAAAGTCAAAAGACAGAAAAATAATTACAATCACAATAACAATAATAATAATAATAATAATAATAATAATAATGACAATGCTAGGAAAAATCATCAAATCATTATCATTTCCACTCAAAACACCTGAAACTTGCTGCTCCTTTAGGAATGCCATCAAGACAAATTTGTGTGGTTACAGAGGTCTGAATATCCAATGTCAACAGGATAAATGTCTGGTCATTACATTGAATTAATCTAAGAGGAGATTTAGCAAGTCTTAGCAAAACTAAAAATAAAGCTAAAAATAGGTACTGTAAAATTATTTTTTTTTGCTATTATTATTCCATGGATAATATCATATTTGATACTCATTCCCACCTACCAAGGCATTCTTCATACAAGTAGTTCGTGATGGAAAATCAATTTCATTAAAAAAAATCTTGTTATCTAAGCATCATGATGATAAAAGACATTGTTACTGAAGGCAAAATGAACAATATTGAAACACCTGTATATCACTCAAGACTTTGTCAGGATCTAGAGAGAATAATACAGATACAAACAATGTATCTCTGCACATTGTAGCCACCCTTAACAATTTGTTTTTAAGTAAAAGAAAAGTTTTTTTGTAATTAATTTAGGGTAATTATACCACGATAATGCCAGTAAAATCAAGAATTTACAGTGATCAAAATATCAAATAGTACTAGTCTTACTATTACAATAAGTGGAAAACTAACCTCATGAATCTGCTATCTGGAGACCAACTCACAAAACAGCCAGGTAGATCCCCTGACACCTTATCAATGCTAATACCATGTTCAAACTCTATCCAAGTCAATCTCCCATCTTGAACAGCCTAAAATTAGGCAACATTAGACATGTAATGCTGAAAGCTCAATGTTTGAGGATCTACTATTTTTACTACACTACCCTGTATTTAACATTTGTTGTTGTTGTCTTTTTTTTGCTTATCTCAGACATACTTTACTTGTATACATACACTTTATTCCAATAGTGATTACCAAAAATAACCACATTATCATGGGAAGCAGTATAGACTAATAAAGGCAGGCCATATGTCAACCAATAATACAGTAAAACTCTATATTACCTCAAAAGCTAATACAAAGTTGATCAACAATAGAATACAGAACAATAATCATTACAAATTGTATTTAGCTTACTTTACAGTGATTTGAGTTCATAAGTTAAAATAAATAGATTAAATCTTGATATGCACATGAAAAATAATCAAATAATTACATATTAAATAACTATAAGAAGTGTAAAACTTAGGTATCACAGTCAATTTACAAATTTCACTCTTCATTATGTCTAGAGCATCAAAGGTTAAATGGCAGAGTGATTGCTTCATTTTTTTTTTTACTTAACTTAATTCTTATGAATCAGCTTGAGTTAATGTTTACACTTTTAAATACACAAGCTAAAGAGTTTGCAGGTCCAAATCAAAGGGTGCATTTTCAGCTCATGACTAAAGAATGGGCAAACATGTTCAGGTTAAGAGGCAAGAAAAGTCTCTGATGGACTTACAAAGTGGATTGCCTCAATTAAGAAAATAAAGGAGGTTGTGGAAGGTGATTACACCATAGCCAGTGACACCCTCTGTCACATCACTTACTTTCTTATACAAATGCCAACAGCCTTCCCAACCTGTCACAGCAACCATAGAGCTATCATGAGAGAACTCCATGCTAGTAATGCGAACAGTTTTAAGGTGGATATACCAAAACTCTGTAAATACAGAAAAATTGTACAAGTTTGTTTAACAATATCAAGTCCACAGGGAAAGAGGGAAAATCAGTTTGTAGTATTTTTACTGTAAATCCATACTTGTATAGACTGAGGTAAATGATAAAATCAGCAAGATTAGTAGTTTTACAGTTGAGCTTGAATTCCTAACCACTTTTACCTACAAGACCTTACACATTGTGTTGCAATGTTTTTTTGGTTCTTTCTTTAAATTTATCCTGCGTGATCTGACAAGGTCTTCATCTCAAAGTTTCAAGGCAAGGGCTACATCACCATGTGTATAACCAACTAGAGAAGGTTTCTATGCCTTAGAACATTAATTTTAATGCCCCTTTTGAGTCTATTACACAAATTGGGAAAAAAGTCGAAAGATTCTTACAATCTCAAGACTTTTCTTTTGCATTTTTTTTTGTCTTCCACGTTTACCTGGTTGCAGTCTGTTTTGCTTTCCTCCTAACTCTTTTTTACCCCTTTTTGTTAGGGGTGCATTTTCTAAATCCTGTAAAGTTTATTACCATTCATGGATAGCCATCAGTATTGATTTAATTCATTGTCTAACATCAACATCAAGTCAATTGTGAAAACACTATACAAGTACTAACACTGTACACCCAATAATTTGATTAAATATGTTCTAAGAAATATCAAGTACCAGTAATGCAGCTCAGGACTTCATTGTAGACATGCATTTTCATTAAAACCTTTAAATACTGTACATGTTCCTTGACTGCACTTTCAAAGTGCAACTAATACAGGTTATGCAGATTCTCAATAAATACATTTATTATCATTAATAATAATCATTTAATACTAACCTTTTTGGTCAGCATACAAGCTAGAAACAGTCCATATACCAAAATGGCCATCAAAGGCAGCCTGCAATTCCAAGAAATTGTAGTAAGACAATCAGATATTATTAAATAAGTTATTCTGACTTTCATTCATATATTATAAATATTTTAACATAAAATACCAAAATTGTCATCTTATTGTAGTCTTTTTTCATAATCTCAAGTAAAATTGTAATGAAAATTGTTGCAGGGATTGGCTGAAAATTGGATAACATGTGAAGATACAAGTAATTGCATTTTTGATAGCATAGACAGGCAACAAGTATAAAGTATTGAAAATGGTTACAGTACAGTAACTGTCAGTGACTAATATAATATAGGCATTAGGCTATGCATGGCCTCCTTGTGATCAACCTAAACCTGTCTGTAACCAAATTTTTGAAGATACACAAACAATGCGAGTACATCGTACATTTAAAGTCCACCCTCTGTTAAAAAAATAACACCTTGCGATGAAGGTTGATAGCTTTTGAGATGAAAATTTTTCTATTTGAAACTGCCCTTGAATTAATTCAATTCTATTTTTTTTTTCAGATTGCATAGGCTTGAGTAGATGTAGGGGCATACCACTGCCAAGCTCTGTTTGTCTGGAGAAAATTCCACCAAAGCAATGGCCAGATCTGGATGAACTGATAAGGATGCACCCTGACACAAAAAAGACAAACTGAGAAAGGACAAAGTAAACACAGCAAAAAAATTGATCTCAAAAGTAATAATTACAAATTAAAAAATGTTTTTTGAGTTACAATTTTAAAGTTGTCTGTCAACTCCATTTGATAAAGCTCCACTCCATTTGGACCCGCAACTGCTAAATGATAAATCTGAAGAATCAAAAGACAACAATTCAGGGATGTAAACTTAAGAAAGGGACTGCAATAAGATAAAACTTGCATGTGACATGACTCTGTAAAAGCTATAAAGTCAATATAAAGGTAAAGATACTAGCTAAAGCATTTCTTTGAGTCTTCTTCCATAAGGAGGCAATTAAAAAGAGTTAATTAATTCATAACTAAGTATTTGAATGACTCGAAATAATAATTAAAATTGGTACTTCAAAGTTAAAATGTGTAACAGCTCATAGCCTAATCTTTAGCAAGCCAGAAGCCAGAAACCAGAATTAAAAGTCAAGATTTGGACATCATATGTTGGCACTGACCAAAACAATTCAATCTCACAGTATCCATCTCCAACAAAGGAATGAAATTGAGAACCAGTACAAAGGTGGCAAATAAATTTGACAAATGATCACTGGGGGAGGGGGGGAAGGGAGGAATGGGGGCTTTTTGCAATGGACTATTACCCCTTTCATGATGAGTAGATACTAGAAAAAATCCAAAATGTCCACTAGTTGGTAACTGACATGACAATGTGTGGTAGTTATGGGTATCTTAACTTGTCTAGTGTAGGACCTATATTGCATAATTATCAGACATTTACCCAAAAGCTTACAACAATTATGTATATAAATTGTACATTTTTAAAATCGTTACTCATTCATACACTACCTCATCTGAAGATGAAAAATCCCTCAAGATAATGGAAATGTCTTTTGGCAAATAATACAAAGGAATAGTGTGAAAGATGAGGAAGTCCTCACTGACCTGACATTTAAGATACAAAAGTAAGATAAGTATAAATTAAGGAGAAATACTTATCTGAGTATGGTTAGAGTAACTTAATTAATATGTTCTGCATCAAATGCTGTGTTCTAAACATTTTCACTCCAAGGAGCAACCAAACCTGGATTCCTCCTTACATCATCTATTATACTTTCAAGCAGAATGGTGATGAGAAGTGAGAACTTAATCAACTCTGGGGTATTTTATTTCCAATCTACAATCATAATAAATGTATGGCAGGGAGTGTGGAGAGTTGATTGCTGAATCTTGGAATTGGAAAGGTTAAAGAAACCAACGACAGAGCCATTCCATGCAAGAAAATAGTTGTAAAAATTATTCATTTCTTTTCTAGCAGGATCCATATTCTCATCTATTAACAACAAACTGAAAAAAAAAGAAGTAACTTACAGTATCAAGGGCAATTCTAATGACGTCGTAGCTACCATTCAATGAGAGCCTCAGGTACATTTTAATAATAATACTAATGATTTAGCAGTAGACATTCTATAAGGCAGCTCTTCCTATTCCTTGTTTCCAGGTTGAATTGGGATTTGGAAAGTTGGTTTTTGGGGAAGGAGGAAACTGGAAGACTCTTAGAGCAAGGATGAGAACTAACAACAAACTGAACCCACTCATGCAACTTGGCTATGTCAACTCAGTTGAAATTGTAAATTGGCCACCGTAACGAATAAAAAAGCTGACGTTTTGAGTGTTAGCCCTTTGTCAGAGCGAATGGAGGAATTGTGGGTTGTACGTGGGTTTAAATATAGAGGCAGAGGTACACCAGCCATTGGTGGGAACATGGCAACGAGAAAAATAGTAATAAACTAGTGGAATGAAAAATGTTCGTTGTTACCTGTGAGATTAAGAGTGCCGATTTGAAAGATTAACTTTTGTTCAAGACTTTTGCAGCTTTCTGTGTTGCCTAAATGTAAAGAAAGACCGCAGATTGCCATATGTTGTTTAGAATAATTAGGTAAATTAAACTGGCTTGGATGCCTACTTGCCATTCCTTTCTACGTCGGGAAGGTGTTCTCAGAATCGGTCACCTAGTCGTCTTCCTGCTTCACTGATGTATAAATTTTCGCAATAAGTGCAAGTTATGTAATAGATTACGTTGGCGGAGGGGCACGTGAAGTAATCGGTGATCTTAATGGATCGCTTGGGTCCTGATATTTTCTCAGCATTGAGAATGAAGGGACAAGTTTTGCATCGTGCCCAAGCGCATTTAAAAGTGCCGGGTTGATCATTAGTTTGGAATGAATTTCTGAACAAAAAATTGCCAATGTTTTTGTCGCATTTGAATGAAATAAGTGGAGGTTGCAAAAAGATAGTGGCCGTCTCTGGATTGTTTTGAAGTAATTTAAAGTTTTTAAGAATAATGGATTTAACTGTGTGGTTGTGAGGGTGAAACGGGAGAGTGAATGGAATGTGGTCAGGACTTTCCTTCTGTGATGTTTTTAGAGCTGACTGTCGATCAATAAGTTGGGCGTGATGGTGACCCATAGAGTTTGGGTTTGGGGCCAATGTATTGGTTACAAAATTGGTGTTCAACAAAACCTACAAAAAGATTGGCATAGCTGGGTCCCATTTTGGTACCCATGGCTACGCCGTGGGTTTGTTTGAAAAAGTTGTCCCAGAATGAAAAACAGTTAAGTGTGAGCACTAGTTCAGCTAAGCAAAGTAGGGTTTCAGATTTAGGTTCCTTAACAGTACGTTGATCAAAAAAATGTTTCCTTTTTAGATATCAAAGTTTCAATTGAAGGCAACGGTTTATCCACTAGTGTGTATTACAAACCCACAGACTCGCATAGTTACTTGTTGTATTCATCTTCGCATCCATCTCATGTTAAGAATTCCATTCCCTTTTCTCAGTTTCTAAGACTTTGTTGTTTATGTAGTGATGACTCTCATTTTTCCCACAAATCACAGTTAATATGCCAGTTTTTCGAAAAGCGTGGTTACCCTGTTTCTTTCGTTCAAGCCGGTCACTACCACGTCCAACTTATTGATCGACAGTCAGCACTACAAACGTCACAGAAGGAAAGTGCCGACCGCATTCCATTCACTCTCATGTTTCACCCTCACAACCACTCAGCAAATCCATTATTCTTAAAAACTTTAAACAACTTCAAAATGATCCAGAGACTGGCCCTATCTTTTCGCAACTTCTACTTATTTCATTCAAACACGACAAAAACACAGGCAATTTTTTGTTCAGAAGTTCATTCCAAACTCATGCCCAACCCGGCACTTTTAAATGCGCTCATGCATGATGCAAAACTTGTACCTTCATTCACAACGCTGAGAAAATGTCGGGACCCAAGTGATCCGTTAAGATCACCGATCACTTCATGTGCACCTCCACCAACGTAATCTATTGCATAACTTGCACTTATTGCAAAAATTTATACATCAGTGAAACAGGAAGACGACTAGGTGACCGATTCCGAGAATACCTTCGCAACGTAGAAAGGAATAACAAGGACGCATCCCAACTAGTTGCTAGACACTTTAATTTACCTAATCATTCTAAACAACATATGGCAATCTATGGTCTTTCCTTACATTTAGGCAACACGGAAAGCCACAAAACTCTTGAACAAAAGTTAATCTTTCAAATCGGCCCTCTTAATCCCACAGGTATCAATGAACGTTTTTCATTCCACTAGTTTATTCGTATTTTTCTTGTTGCCATGTTCCCACCAATGGCTGGTGTACCTCTGCCTCTATATTTAAACCCACATACAACCCACAATTCCTCCACTTGCTCTGACGAATGGCTAACGCTCGAAACATCTGCTTTTTTATTCGTTACGGTGGCCAATTTAAATTTCAACTGAGCTGATATAACCAAATTACATTGTTACCCCCACCGACGCAGCACCACAGTTTCTTTAGAAACTTTTAGCCCCCACTCAAGTAATGCCAAGTCTGGGCATCAAACCCAGACCCCCACAGTGGGAGGTGGGTGCTCACACCACTACACCATCCCTGCTGAAAGAAACAGAAGTAACAGAAGTACACATGCTTACTTTACAAAGGTGGATTCTGTATCCAGCCACTGCAAAAATCTCATCATCAGTGGACCAAGCATGGCCTTCGAGAAGTTCACCTTTGCTGAATGAGAGTTTCTTGGTAATGACTGCCTGGAAACTGTCACCAAGCTCTGCAATGCAATGCAAAAGAAATCTTTGACCTTAAGAGCTGACATGCATGTTCCATCACTGCAGCTGCAATTTTGACACTCCAGGAAAGGTAAATGAAATGATTTTAAGTAGTCTGAAAATGTAGCTACACCGAAGGACAGCGACTAAAACCCTGACCTGATGGTTTTTGTAAATAGAGACTAGGCAAAGAAAACATAAAAAAGACGAAATTTGTTTACGTAAATCACTTTCAAGGTCGCTTGTGAAAGAAATTTTATACTTCGTAGAGAATTAAACCGCAACAGTTTCACTCTTCTCAGCAACTTTTCCGTGGCAGCAGTTATAAAAAAATATATTCTCTGAAGTTAAGTGGACAATTTCAACGCAAAGAAGTTGTTAACAACAGGTACACATAGTTGTAGCAATTGATGCTTAACTGGGAATGCTAATAGGTCCCACATTTGAACCAGCAACGTACTTTAGAGAAAGTGTACTTCTCGCAATGTAAACAAAAGCAAGGTCAGGACATACTAAGGGACGTCAGCAGACAAAGTGCCATTGAAATTAGAAATCTTTTACCTGCTTTCTTGTAAAAATGCACGGTAAACAATAAATTAAGACATTTTCATTTTCGAGTTATGGCTGAAATATACTTTTAAAGTACCTTTTAACTCAAGTATTAATACCGTTCCAAAGTCACACAGGACGCTGAAGTATTTACCAGTGCTTGAGTATTTGATGCAGTTTTGCAATGACGGGCTCGCTGGCTCTAATGCTCCATTGACACTCACACTTACCACCGCCTTACCTTTACCCGCCATTTTGAAAATTCCCGCCCAGAGGAGATTGGATACTAGCAGGTAAATATTAACCACGAGGTGAGCGTGACGTCA